GACCTCCCAGAATTACAGCCGGTCTCCAGATGACAGAGATCAGTTCCCCTGGAGAAAATGGCTGCTTGGGAGGGTGGACTCCATGGCATTACGTTCTACTGAGCTCCTTCCCCTTTCCAAAACCTGTCCTCTCCAGGGTCTGCCCTGACGATCTCCAGGAATTTCCCAGCCCAGAGTTGGCAACCCTAATGCGAACAGGGGCAAGGCCTGGTCTGGGCTCCATGAGGCCGTAAGCAGCCACAGCCAGCCTCCAACATCACAAGGGAAAAGTGAAACGACAGCAAACGCGTTTTCTTCAAGGGATCACATTAACTCAACTTAAGACGCTGAACTGCAGGCTGTGGAAGGTCGGTAATTCAGCAGTTCAAGACCCGGGTGCCGCATGACGGAGTGAGCTCCCGTCTCTAGTTCCAGTTCCTGCCAACCTAGCAGTCCGAAAGCAAGAAATTGCAAGTAGATAAATAGGTACCACTTCGGTGGGAAGGTGACAGCGTTCCATGTGCCTTGGTGTTTAGTCATGCCGGCCACATGACCACGGAAACATCTTCGGACAGCGCTGGCTCTTCTGCTTTGAAATGGAGATGAGCACCGCAACCCTAGAGTTGGATTCGACTGGCTTTCGGGCAAGGGAACCTTTACCTTTACAAGAAGGGACCGTCGCCACATCCACAGCTCCCGGCAGTATAAACCGAGCCTGGCCTTCTCCCTGCCATGCAAAATTCTTGGGGGAGGGGGACAACTTCCACTTGGGAGGCAAGACGCCATCCCACCCCCACCCCCGGTCTGCTGCAGCTCCAGACTACGTAGTCGTTGTCATGTCGCTACCTGCAGGGTGCTCCGTCCTGCCTTGGGGAGGGGCAATCGAGAGGCCTCTGCCTGAAGCAGAACTGCCAAGAAGAGTGTTCTGAATGGGGGGAACGTGGCTCTTGCCAGCCTCCAAGTGGGGACTGGAGAGCTTCCAGAATTACAACTCATTCCCAGCTACAGAGATCAGCTCCCCCTCCCCTGGAGAAAGGGGCAACTCTGGAGGGCGAATCCTGCTGAGGTCTCTCCCCTCCCCAAACCCTAACCTCCCCGGGCTCCACCCCCAAATCTCCAGGAATTTCCCAACCTGGAGCTGAAAACCTTTCCAGCTGTGCCAGTGCTCGGCTCATCTGATGCACACCTATGAGACAGTGTCTGAAGAGAGAAGAAGAAGAGATTGGATTTATACCCCGCCCTTCACTACCCAAAGGTGTCTCAGAGCGGCTGACAAACTCCTTTCCCTTCCCCTCCCCACAACAGGGACCCTGGGAGGTAGGCAGGGCCGAGAGAGCTCTTGACAGAAACTGCTCTTTTTCAAGAACAGCTCTTATCAGAACTACAGCTTGCCCAAGGTCATCCAGCCAGGCGCAAGTAGAGGAGTGGGGAATCGAACCCGGTTCTCCCAGGTCAGAGTCCGCGCACTTAAACCACTACACCAAACTGGCTCAATATTAGGGTTGCCAGGTCTGGGTTGGGAAATATCTGGAGACTTTGGGGGTGGATCCAGCAGAGGGCGGGGTTTGGGGAGGGGAGGGGCCTCAGCACGGTACAAGGCCACAGAGTCCCCCCTTCAAAGCAGCCATTTTCTCCAGGGGAGCTGATCTCTGTCAGCTGGAGATGAATTGTAATAGCGGGAGATCCCCAGGCCCCACCTGGAGGCTGGCAGCCCTAAACAATATTGTGGCAAGGAATGGGAGTCGTCCACTCCACCCACGGGATTACTTTTGGCCTGAGCACGTTCTGCATGGGCTACCCAGGCACGGGATTTTCTTGGAGCCATGTAAAGAACAAGACAGACAAGCAAACCAAAAGGGTCAGAAGTATGAAAACAACCTCTTCTCTCGGCCATTCAGAAAAGATCATTCTTTCTTTCTCGGCTATGGTCGCTTCCTCTCCTATCTACCACACAACATCTGAAAAAGATCCTGTGTCCCTGGCAGAAACATGACCTCTACATTTGCCCATTCTGTTGGACAGTGTTCCAGGGTACAATTAGCATGCTCCACACCACACAGGGGGGAGGAAGTTCCTCATCCAGAAAGGCTGCCCACATCTCTTGGTTCACCTGTTGTGATTGAGCTGCAATTTTTTTTCTGAACACAACATACCAAATCCAAAATCATCAAAAGAAGGAAGGTTATCAGCTCTACAAGTCCAAGGGTTGCCAACTGCATGCTGGAAAATTCCTGGAGATTTGGGGTGGAGCCTGAGGAGGGCAGGGGTTGGGAGAACATAAGAGAGCAGCCAATGTTGGATCAGGCCAATGGCCCATCTAGTCCAACACTCTGTCATACAGTGGCCAAAAACACCAGGTGCCCTCAGGAGGTCCAGTAGTGGGGCCAGGACATCAGAAGCCCTCCCACTGTTGCCCCCCCCAAGCACCAAGAAGACAGAGCATCACTTGCCCCACACCGAGAGTTCCTATCTATACCTGGTGGCTAATAGCCACTGATGGACTTCTGCCGCAAAGCTCTAACCCTACCAAAACAGCCATTTTGTTGGGATATTTGCAAGTTCACTTTCTTCTGTCATGAAAGAGAACCTGTTTGTTTGTATATGTTAATTGCTAGTTACCTTAAGAACCAATGGGCTGTCCTGCACGTACTTCCCACCAGAGAAAAAGGAGTCCCATGAATAATGATGTGACCTTTAGTTTGGCTGTGTGTCGATTCATAGCTGGGTGATGTTACCTGAGATTTTGTACATATGCATTTTGGGGGGCGGGGTTTCATCTTCCTCCCTTTGTTCTAATATCAAATGCTCAAATCCATCTTGGAGTCACCAGTAACTAGAAAGATGCAGCAAGTCAGCTAGACATTTCATTGTTTTTATCCTCGACATGTAACCCTGCCTAATTTTTTTAATAAACTTTCTTTTAGCTGGTTTACACATGTCTGCTACGTCATTGCTTTACTCTGCTAAAATATCCAGTGCATTTTCTCCAGGAGATCTGATCTCTGTAGCCAGGGATGAGTTCTGGAATGACTCCTGGCCCCACCTGGAGGTTGGTGACCCCAACATGCCCACAGTAGGTGGAGAAGATCACAAGATTCTTAGAACTGTCCAATGCTCCCTCCAAGCTGCCCAGTCTTGTGAGCACAAATTCTACTTTGTGAGCTCCTGGCATTAAAGTGGTGAGCGAGCGATTTGGCTGCTGCATAAATTAGCTTGCTCTGGAGCCCCGTCCTTCCTGGACGAAGACAAAATGTGTGAGCCAGAGGCCAGAAAACTGTGAACTAGCTCACACTGACTCAGCTTACAGGGAACACTAGAACTGACATCATTCACCTTTTTGCCCCAGTTTACGAACGGACACTTCAAAGGAGAAGACAATATCCACAGTACATCCCAACAGTTGATGCGTTTTTATATTGAAATCAAACCGTCGCACTTCCTGTTCCTGTGAGGGTTAAGGGCCTGGGTGTAAAGCATCTGGAAATCTAACAGAGTCCCCCCCCCCCCCCGGGGTGGGTGAAAGCAGGTGGGACACTTGACTTCTGCGGTTTTCCATAAATGCTTGCATTAAAAAGACCTTTTTTAAAAAAAGATTTATGCTGCCTGATGAATCAGGAGCAGCCTTTTTGCTGATTAAAACGTTTCATTACTCTGACTGACAAATGGACTAATGTTCCAGCTCTACTTGGAAAGAGGCCCAACTGGCACACGGGGAGGTGAGCTTCGTGGTCAGCGGCAGAGGAGAGGAGAGGCGGGAACCCTGCAAGTCGCCTGCGTGATCCTTTCTCTGCCCTGCCCGGGCCCAGTCATGACGTGCGGCGGGGCAGGTTGCTGCTGCCTCCCTGTGGCCTCATGACAAAGTTGTAGGCTGCAGCCCCGCCCCCTGTCCCACCCGCCATGCATCCAAGCAGCAGCTCCGCCTGTCTCTGTGTCCCACATTCCCCCACGCTCACTCCACCTCCTTGGCTACGGCTTGGAGGGACAAGACAGCTCACAAGGGGGAAGCATCACATCTTGCATTTGGGGCAGGCCAAGGAAGAGGAGACCGGGGCCTGCTGCTCTGGGGGGACCCACGTCAGCCGCAACTGGGGGGGCGGCGGGAAGGGTGCCAGGCCCTTGGGAGAGGTCAGGTATTCCCTACCCCCAGCTGCTGAGAAAAATGCTAGCGAGCGGGCCGCAGGCCAATAGCGTGACATCACTTCCGGGGGAAACCCGGAAGTGATGTCAGTCCTATCCAGGACTCAGTCCTTGTGATGTCACTTCCAGGTTTCCCCCAGAAGTGATGCCTCAGCATGGCTGATGGCCTCCCACCACGTGTCCCCCCCCCCCGCAATCTCCCACTAAGCAGGAGGAGGACACCCAGGAGTTATCTGCAGCTGCACTCTTTCACCAACGGCAGAAGTACAGCGTGCCCACTTTGCATAATTAGAAGCCCCCGTTTACTAGAAGATGCTCCATTTCTAAGGGAGAACAAACTTTAATCTACAATTAACTAATGTGAGGATGGCACTAAACTGGAGTTGGATTTTAAACACAGAACATAAATGAAAACTAAGTTACCGGTCCTCAGGGGTGACCAGATATGCAAGGAAATGTCCCAGGTGTCTCCGCTGTGCTTAAAGGGGTTCAGCGGTGTCCTGACTGGTGGCTACCAACGCTCTCTGGTGGCCTCCAGCCAGGCTCCCTTTCCCAGTCACACGGTTGCCCCAGAGCGCCCTGCCTTCTGCTGGGACAGGGGTGGGACACTGATGGAGGGGGAAAGCAAGCCATTGCGTGATGCTACAGGACAGGCACAACATTGGGGCATTGCCGGTGCAGGATGTTCTCAGCTGACATCAACACCCAGCGCCCTGGCAGGATGGCCTGTTCAACCGCTGAGGGTATCGCTCGTTCCCACGCCATGTGTAAGAAGACTACGCTTCAATGCGCTGGCCCCCCTGGTCAGGTTAAGCTCTGGGGTGATGCACAGAATGGAAAAAATGTTCTCATGACATTTTGCTTTTTATGGATTGAAAGCTTACCATTTTTGCAGACTGGACAACACTGTTCTGGTTCATAGACTGGGTTGACACATTCAGGCACGGCACAGTCTGCCACAACACAGTGAACTTCATTGCTGGGCTCACAGCGACACCACTCGCACGGAGAGGGCTAGGAACAAAGCTGAAATTAGCCCATCTTTTCCCCCTTCCGGCAGGTCAACAGGTTCATAAAAAAAACTTGTTCTCAAAACATTGCATTCATTCAGCATTCCCAGCAACGTAGCAAACACATATGCAGTGCTCAAGCTGCGCTTCGTCTCAAAGCCGCCTCTGATTGGTGTTTCAGACACACCTCCCAAGACCTGGGCCGGGTTCAAATCTCGGTCGCCTCTCTTGCTCTGGCTCTCCTTCCTAAGAACCTGCTCTTTACCGGACTTCACTGGCACCTTTGGAGCCACTAATTCCCCAGGGCGGAGGAGGACTCTTTGCTGCTCTCTGACAAACCACCTCTGCTGAAACTTGGCTGGGGAGAAGCAGCTCCTCATGAGGTCCTGGGGAATCATTTCCAGCAAGGTCTTCTCACCTGTGGCCTTTTAGGCCTGGTATCTAGAGGTGAACCTAAATGACCTCCTTAGTTCCATGTTCATGGTTGTTATTGTCAAAAAGCGCCTCCATTTTCTGGAGCACCTTGAATATTTATTCTCCACTAACTTGAACAGCCCAAGATGGGTAGTAGCCGTGTTAGTCTGTCTGTAGCAGTAGAAAAGAGCAGGAGCACCTTAAAAAAGACTAACAAAAATTGTGGCAGGCTACCGGTAGGAGCTTTTGTGAGTCATGCAGGGACTCACAAAAGCCCCTCCCCTGCCACGAATCCTGTTAGTCTTTTTAAAGGTGCTCCTGGACTCTGGCTCTTTTTCTTGATTGCAGGGAGCTTTGCAGTCCCCAAACTATCTCCCCCCACCACCGGGAGTGATCTGAAAGGGGCGCCTTTCCTCAGGCAAGCTCATTTCAACATGGGAATCCAAACCCAAAGCCATTTCAGCTCAGCCTGGCTGCCTCCACTCTGCCAGGACACTCGATCTTTTCAGGCCTCTCTGAGCTTTTCGGTGACCATCATTCCAGGTCAATGGACACGTCCACCTGTCCTGTCCACATTCTTTGGGCTGTGCAGGACTTCTCTGGAAGTCTATTGGCTATGCACGCAAACCCTGCACACACCCCCTTCACTTCCTTCCTGCAGCCCTTTCCTGTGAAGTCACGTGCTCCACCCCAAGAAACAGCAAAATGCATTCTCAGGATTAAGTGTGCGCGGGACAGACAAATCCAGCCCAGCTATCTGCCTGAGCCTGAGGCTAGTGCTCTCCCCCCACACACACACTTCTTTGTACCAGCTCCACAGGAAGAGAGACCCAGCTGCCCCCCATCGCTTCTTCCAAATCACTTTTGCTTACTCTGAAGTAAAGTCCACTCCAGTGCATTTACTGCAGTGTTTGGTGGCCCAGGTCCTCTACAGACTTAGGTCACTTTAAAGAAAAAGGCTTTCAAGACGCCGAGCTGTTGGTGGCCCAGAGGCAGAGTGGCCAGCCAGGAAGGGCAAGAGACAAATCCTGCCCCCCAGCCAAAGTCATCAGGTGGCCTCAAGAGGATCCACTTGTCTTTTACCCCCTCCCATCTGCAAAGCAGCACTGGCCTACACTACAGGGTCGCTAGAAGCATTGCTAAACTAATCTCTGTGCTGCAGGATGCCGACAACTCAAAAAAACAACAACATATGGCTACCCTTGGCTGCCTGGCAGAGACGGCACCCTTAAAACCCACTGTCTTGGAGGGGGGGCAGAAGCCGTGAGCACCTGGAGGCAAAAGGGAAAAGGGGAAAAGCCCTGTCCTTTGACCAGAAGCTTCACTGGTAGTGGGAAGGGCCAGGGAGTCAGGAGATGAGCAGAGGGGATTTGCCACTGCCTGCCTCTGCGTAGCAACTTCCTCAGGGGTCTCCCCCATCCAACTACTACTAACCAGGACCAACCCTGCTTAGCTTTTGAGATCTGACAAGACTGGGTCAGCCTTCCCACCTGCAGCTGCTAGATGACCTTGGGCAAGCCGTAGTTCTGATAAGAGCCGTTCTTGAAAAAAGAGCCGTTTGTGTCAGAGCTCTCTCAGCCCCGCCTACCTCACAGGTGTTGGAAAAACATGATCCCGAAAGGATACAACAATCAGGACTCTTATATAATTAGCTATGTTATAACAGCTGCAAGAATATTAATAGCGCGACAATGGAAGGCAGAAGGATTACCTACAAGGGAAGATCTGATAAATAAAATATTAGAACTAGCCAGATTAGATGATCTAAGTTTAAAGATGCAGAATAAAACTGAAACGGTACATAAAAGGAGATGGGAAAAATATATAAATGGATAGAAGAACAGACAGAAGTTTAATATTTCCAATTTGTATATGAAACAATAAGAAATGAATGACTCTGATATGTATGCAAACGAAACTGATGAAATATATGTGAACATAAAGTTTTAAAAATAAAAAAATTTAAACCCCCAGGAAATGCATGTGTTTACAAGGTCTGACAATCCAGTCATTGTAGGGTTAACTCGTTTACCTAGTATTGCTATTGTTTGGACTGACCTGGCACAGAGCCAATGGGGAATTAACCCGGGAAAAGTAGTTTCTATTGTGATACAGATTGGTTGTTTGTTTCAGGTGACTCCCTTTCTAGGGGTCCAGAAGAAGGACAGATTCTCCATTATCTGTGTGTAGTGTGTAACCATGATTTGAACTGTAAGCAGCTTAGAAAATGTAGCTCTTAGGAGTTTGTTATTTTGTAGGTTTCCTGTATACCTTTTACCCTTAGAAATAAAGGTTTTTAGATGCAAAGAAATCTCTTCTTTCCAATAGAGCAAGATCCATTGATACTCTGAGTATTTTAAATAATTTTGACTATTTTACAACAACAGGGTGTCTGTTGTGGGGAGGGGAAGGGAAAAGAATTTGTAAGCCGCTCTGAGACTCCCTTGGGTAGTGAAGGGCGGAGTATAAATCCAATCTCTTCTTCCTCTTCTTCTTCTCCAGGTCTGTTGGTAACCCTACTTGCTTGGAGGGCCAAAACTACCCCCTGCAGTGGCTCTCAAAGAGCTACTGTGCGAATGATATGGGGAGGGGGGGCATGCCACATGGAGCTCCTTGAGGGGAGGGGGAGGGGAGGGGCTGTGGCTCTGCGTCCGGACGCTCCCCAGTTCAGTCCCCACTTAGGAAAGGACCAGACTGCAGGTGGTGTGGAAGACCCCTGCCTGAGACCCTGGAGAGCTGCTGCAGGCCGAGTAGGCAATACTGACCTTGAGGGACCAGTATAGGGCAGATTCACATGTTCAAGGGGGAAGGTTTTTTAAAAAAAATACAGTAAACAGAATGCTCCTTAAAGCACCACAAAAACGTCCTAGGGAAAATACAGCATTTAGAATTCTTCAAGAGGCTTTTCTGTGCAGGTGAGAGGGCTGCACTGTACAAAATTATTCACACACTCTCACAGGGATGATGAGGGGCTGGCCAGTCTGCAGTCGTGCGTACAACCTTACTGTAAGGAGGATCTGATTGTGTAATTTTTGCGCCCCTGAATGTGTCCTATTGCACTATGCTTCAGTTCTTTCTGGCTGGTTCCAGACTTGTACAACCCTAATCCCACTGCACTGTTCATTGACTGTCCCATTTCTATTTTTTATTGTATTGACTCACTCCATGAAATCTGCCTGGAGTTCCTATGAGAAAGGTGGACGGAAATAAATAAATAAATAAATAAATAAATAAATGCTGGTGATGTAAATCCAGTCTTAATGAAATAAGAATACGACTGGAAGAAGGGTATATATAATTTCATGTCTGACAAAGGATGCCTTGACTCTTGAAAGCTTCCACCCTGGAAATCTTGTTGCTCTCTTAAAGTGCTCCTGGACTTCTATCTTCTCTACTTGAATCTTATAAAGGGAGCTTTGATTCTCAAAAGCATATACCCCCCCCCAAAAAAAAAATCTTATTAATCTCCAAGAAGTTACTGGATTCAGATCTTTCCTACTTGTATCTGACAAATGGATCTTTGACTTCCAAAAGCATATAAGCTAATAACATAAGAGAAGCCAATTTCGGATCAGGTCAACGGCCCATCCAGTCCAAACACTGTGTCACACAGTGGCCAGAAATACCAGGTGCCATCAGGAGGTCCAGCAGTTGGGCCAGGACACTAGAAGCCCTCCCACTGTTGCCCCTCCCCCTGCAAGCACCAAGAAGACAGAGCATCCCTTGCCCCGGACCGAGAGTTCCTATCTATACCTTAAGAACATAAGAACATAAAAGAAGCCCATGTTGGATCAGGCCAATGGCCTATCTAGTCCAAACACTCTGTGTCACACAGTAGCCAGAAATACCAGGTGCGATCAGGAGGTCCAGCAGTGGGGCCAGGACACTAGAAGCCCTCCCACTCTTGCCCCCCCCAAGCATCAAGAATACAGAGCATCACCTGCCCCAGACCGAGAGTTCCTATCTAGACCTTGTGGCTAATAGCCACTGATGGACCTCTGCTCCATATGTTTATCCAGTTCCCTCTTGAAGCCATCCATGCTTGTAGCCGCCGCCACCTCCTCATCCCCTCCAAGAACTCTAAAAGGTCAGTGAGACAAATCCTGGAGAACTCAAATTTAGCTTTTCTTCTGCAGACCAAGACGGCTGAAACTTTTAAATGGAGTAATGTAAGCAAAAACATGTCCTCTGAGGAGTTTACAGTGTTTGGTGTAGTGGTTAAGTGCGCGGACTCTAATCTGGGAGAACCGGTTTGAGTCCCCACTCCTCCACTGGCTGGATGGCCTTGGGCAAGCCGTAGTTCTGATAAGAGCTGTCCTAGAAAAAGAGCACTTTCTGTCAAGAGCTCTCTCAGCCCCACCTGCCTCACAGGGTGTCTGTTGTGTGGAGGGGAAGGGAAAGGAGTTTGTAAGCCGCTCTGAGACACCTTTGGGTGGTGAAGGGCGGGGTATAAATCCAATCTCCTCCTCCTCTCTTCTTCTTCTTCTTCTTCTTCTTCTTCTTCTTCTTCTTCTTCTTCTTCTTCTTCTAGATGTTGACCGTTCGGGGAAGACAAGAGGAAGGGGAGAGGTCAAATACTAGAAGGTGAGA